CAGCATCTAGGTATGGCGTGCAGTATGCCTGGTAAACAGGTTCAATGGATAAACAGACGAATAAACAATATTCCTTTTATTTCTATTAATGAATGATGCCCAAAGACAGATTCTAATACTCTTCTGGAGATTTATATTGTATTTCCTTGCTCTTTGCTATTACGAGCCCTCCAAAAATAAGAAATTAAAAATGACAAAATCGATTTGAAGCAGCTGAAAAGTTATTGTCAACATAATCTCCACATTGGTAAGATTCTGGAAATGTTTCCTTTATTAACATTTCTTGAGAAAGACTTACTATGCGAGGCAGCCTGTCTCATTTGCTCACAAGCTTTCAAAACTCTAGTTCTACTATATTCAAATTCCTTATTTCCCTTCAACTTAGTGACCACCATTAACAGTCCACTGTATTTTGCACTGCCCTTATGTTTTTGCCTCAAGCTTGAACTGATTATATTCTTTGATTTCCTTACCCTGGTGTAGAGTCCTTTTTATACAGATCTTAAAAGCGACACTAGCTGCTTTTTGTTCCTCTGGTTTTTTTTTTTTTTCTTCAAGATAATTATATTCTGTTGTGCCTTTTATTATCGTGTCTTTTAGGATCTCCTAACCTTGTACACTCTTGGGTTTTATTTAATAGTGAGCTCCCTCCTCTACTCTCCACACTAAACCATGCTCATTAGGTTTCTTAATCCTCCATAATTTGCTTTCATGAAATCTTATACCTTTGAGTTGCTGTGTTGTATGAGCCCATTTCCTTAGTATAGCTATTCCGAGCAGCCCAGAATCAACAAGCACTAAACATAAGCTTATTCACTTTCTCAGCCAACATGACTCTACAGAAGAAAGAAAAAAAAATCTTTGTTTTGAATGTTTATGGACCATGAAACTATACCATTTTAACTTGAGATTTTATTTTCTCATCCAAACGTTGCCTGAGAAGGTTAAGAACACAGAATTAAACTCCAGGCAGTCCTTAACATATAGTTATTAATTTATAGGCTTGGGGTTCTTCTTGGTCAGAAAAACTATTCTGCTTTAATGGAACAGAAATAACAGTATCCTGATGTTTTGTAGTGACTGGTAAATTCCAACTACATCTTTGCCTTATACCCAGAATTGAGGAGAAAACATATTTTTTCAGTTATTCTGCAAGAGCTCTGCTTTTCCAAATGGGTTGTTTTCAAAAGACATGTGCACGTTCTTGAAATCTGACTGCACAGTCAACTCTGCTCTTCTCAGCAGTTCGTCCTCTGCTTTCTCTTCCATGCTATTCATCACTAGCACCTTTGCTAATGGATGTGTACAGAAGGGCGAAGAGAGCATGTATGTTGTTTTTGTTTTTAACTTCTTTTGGTTAAATCTTAAAAGCAACAACAACAAAAACACTTGGTAGTGAATTGAAAGAGTTAATGACGTTTCCAGAGGTGCCTATAACTTATTCAAGCAAAGTTTACACTTCAACCCTGTGCATGTTAACTTGTGATCCTCCCCATCCAGATGATAGAAAGCAAAGCCAGTAATTTCTTTATTTAATTGGTTTGCATCCACACACTGACCTCCAGGGCTCTGTTTACATAGCCTATCATGCAATATGCTCCACAGTTCCCTGCCTCTTTCAAAAGCATGTTTCTCCTGAGATTTGATATATAGCTTTCATGTTTAATCACTACATTAAACTCAGTGCTCTGCTTCCTCTAGCATCAACTAACTTCCCTTCTTGGGAGGTGGGGAGAAGAGCAGAGCTTCTTGCTACTTCTGAACATAAAAGGAAGTCTGTTTAACTCTATTAGTAAAATCACCAACTACACACGATTGCAGGCAAGCAAGATTATTGCATCAACTGGGAAACAGTATTAAACTCCTTTGGAAAGAAGGTAGGTTGATTGCTCTCAATCAGCAAAGCCAAAAACTTGAGGTGATTCAGTTATAAACCAACAGAAAAGAGTTTAATCAGTATGTACCTCACTACACAGAGGACATAAAGCTAGAGTGTTAATCAAATTAATCTTGAGGACAGAACATTCCTGGGGTTCTTGGGTCAGAATTAACTCAATGCTGCTACCGTCTGCTTGAAGGTTTTCCTAACCTTCACCACAAATAGAACTTTTGATGTCTCTTTAGCTGAATGTAGACATGGTAATGTCATGATCCTTTCCATAAAAATCTGTGAGTCATATTTCTGAGACAAAAACCTCAAAAAAAAATAGTTGATCTCTTTCACTAAGTCAAGGCAATCTATGATCTTCAGGCTTTAAAAATGACATGAAATGTTTGTATTTTAGTTTAAATATTTCAAGCAAAAAAAGAAAAGTGAAATGAATATGGCAAATTATTAATAATAGCAAAATCTAGATGATGGATATATGGATGTTCATTATTTCACACTCTATTTTTATATGTAGTTGAAATATTTCATAATAAAATTTTTGAAACTTAAAAAGCAATCTGTGGATTTGCTTTTGTAGGAAAAAAAATTGATACAATTTTGATTTAAAAAAATTTAAATCACTCTCTAGGTTGATCGTCTGGATATGTATTCAACAACTGACATTTTTTACCGTGTGCTGACAATGAAAACTTTCCTTCCCTCCTCATGAATCTCACTCCACAGTAAGAAACTCATTTACACAAATTGCAAATGTGCAGTAAGCTCTGCATAAGCTGAGCTCCTTCCTTGAGAGGGGAGATATATATACATGTGTGTGTGTGTGTGTGTGTATATATATATATATATGTATATGTATATATATGTAAATTTTTACTTTGAAATATTTTCCTTTATGGCTAGTCATTGACCATACTATTTATTTTTAAGTGTTTTTTTTTTCTTAGTAAGATTGGCATCTTCCTTCATTTAAAAATCTTACTTTGTCAGGAACACTGTTACAGCTGCATACAACATTAAGCAGAGCTAGTTTACTTTCTGTATTTGATGAACAATAGAGAATCTGAACCTATTAAAGTCATACATTTAATTGTTCCAATATACCATCTATTTCTAATCAAAATTTGCATGATATAGCATGCCAAAGAACACAGTTCTAGCTTCCTTTGTCATGATTCCCTCATTCAATACTAAGCTAAAAGAGCTTATAAGAAAACATAATTACCTGTTTCTTAATTTGACCATCTGAATTCTTTCCACAACATATTTAAATTCAAAATTAAAAGAATAAATAAACTTTTAATCAGTATTCCCTTTAAGATTTTTCAGAGTACAGAACTTTGTAGTTTTCAAAGACATACAGATGTTGTCCATGATAAACATTTTTTTAAAAATTAGGACTTGGAAAAAATAAGAATCATGAACACAATCTTGGGTCACAAGAAAGATGTGTGCCTGTACAGATGTTATAACTATCACTACAGGAATATAGCAGCATACTTTAATTTGGATTTGAAAATTCAACATAAATTTTCTGACTTTGACAATAGCTGCCTAATATTTCAATTTTGTACACTATTTCCAGGTTTCACCTTCAAAATGAACCTGGTGGGCTTTTCCATTTTTAAGAGCTATGTTCCTATATCCTAAAACCAGTTTCTGACCTTTAGGGAATTAAATCAAATCATGGCAAAATAGGCTCTTAATAAATGTCTGGTGACTTACTAGCAATGATATAAAAAGACATCCAACTTTTTATGTAAAAATTCATTCTCCATCAATTTTCTTCATTTATTTTTTATTATACATAAAGATTTTAATATCTAAAAAAAATGACAGACTTTTCACCTTATTTTGGATCACCTCCTATGAATCAAAAAAAGTCAAATCATTGATATAATACCACCATGTCTTTAGTCTCCATTTAGCCAGTCTTGAAAACCAGAAATGTTTATCTTATGCTCTCACTGTCAGATGTGATTCAGAAGCCCAAGAACACACAGAATGGAAAGATTTCTGAAATCATGGCTCTCAAATCAGGTAAAATTGTTAACTCAAATGTATAGACTTCATACTTAAAGAGTCTCACCAAGTTGGAGACACTCATAAAGGCATACAATAAAAGAAAGCTTTTAAAGAAGAAAAGCACATTAGCTCCTTAACACCATGGTCAAAAAGAATATATAGTCCTTAGTTCCTTTGTAAACATAATAAACAAAAACTTTTCTTAAGTTAAAACATAATGGAACTCAAACCAGAGTAAGAGTGTTACTTTTAAATTCAATAAATTGTATGATTCTTTGCAAATTATTTTCTCCTAGAATTGAAAAATCCATGTTTATTTATCTATTAACAGTTCACCAAAGGGCATAATTCCTTTGTACGAATATGAGACAATTTTTGTGCTTTAATTATAAACACCATTAGACACTCTGGAGCCCATAAATCTCAGCAAATGACATAAAGACACAGTCAAACCTAAGGATTATATAGCTACATTCATGCTTAGTAAAAAGAAGACATCTAATGAGATTGATATGCCACTGTTTCTGAAAATGTAAATTTTCTCTTGATAGACACAAAAATAATGGCTTAAGGTGCTTTTAGTTTTCCATCACCCCCTCCAACAAAACAAGTTTTTAAAAAACTAACAACTTCTATTTCTATTGGCTAAATCTCCGTATAGTTTTCATATTTCTAGATTAGTGCTCACTTCAGCAGCACGTATATAATAGTTTGCTGGATTAAATGTATCTGATGACAAGTCACCTGCACATAATCTTCAAAATTACTCAAGATGCTTTGTCTACTGAGAGAATAATATTCTATTTTGAGCAGTAAGTATGTACAACTTTCACTTCTGCTTTTAAAATGAAACTCTGCAGATATAGATCATTTAAGGCTTACTGTAGAACTATCAAGAATCTCAAAGTGAACATCTCAAGTTATGATTCCAAGCAGCCAATAGCCCTGCTTTGAGGTAGGGTTCATGTTTTGAAAAGAGGCTGCCTCGTCTGTTTAAAATCAAAAAGGTTCTTGATCTGATGAGTTACTCCTCAGAGAATAATGTAAATAAAATATACTCAGAGTAACATTACTAATGTAAACATACCTGAACCGGAGTCAAACTTGCTTTCTGACCTGCAAAAAGAAAGAAATTTTTTACGATATAAAAATCGCTTATTAAAGGGCACTGTTGCTTTGTGGGAGGGGATGCAATGGTTATAGATTTCAGTACATTGGTCAACAGGGAAAATCGCTTTTTAAAATGTACATACATATCTGTTTTAACTATTTTCGATGTGTGCATTATCCTAGGTCCCCTGAACGTGCACATTATCTGTAGAGATAGCACAGTATGAAAACGATATTAACTTTTTAACTTGTTTTGAGAGGAGGAAGATAAATTGTGAACCAAAAAAAAAAAAAAGGCAGATTAACTTGTTTCTGTAATATGATAAAGCCATAAAAAACTCAAATTTAAATCTATCCTCTTTACTTATTATTAAAGATTTTCAATTATTCAACACCAAGTAATTTTTCACTAAGTTCTTCACTGAGTAAATGAACCTAGTAACCCCATTCATTTAATAAAAAGGAGGGGGAAAAAAACCTGAGCACTTGTGGGAACATTATGTTTCAGATATAGGTTAATACTGGTTGTAAATTCAGAAGCCTTTGAAGCTCTCAGTTCGGCTGTGGGAAAACTTCTGTTGGGTAATTACTCTCAAGATGCTGCTGATGTGCTGTCAAGCAGAATTAACCCTATGACTAGGCCTATCTACACAGGCTACTATAAGACAGCATTGTCTATATCTAGCTCTCAAACCAATTAGTGGGCATGCTCCAGTCGGATTTATATCACACATTAACAATCAATAGTATATACGTTCACAGCTGCCACAGCAAGATACAAGAACCCACCAGCAGGAGTCCTGTTAAGGGATGTTACATTGACAGAGAAGAATTTTTTTTTTCCTGGGGAAATGTAGTTAACTAAGTGGGAAAGGAGATTTCTTTGAAATTATGCCAGGGTGCCAAAGCACTTTTGGAAGCAGTGGCTTTCTTTACCTAAATTAGTTTCAAGAGAAGTCATCAAAGGGGAGAGAGGGGGAAAAGGAGAAGCAAGAAGCAGCTTCCTTTGTCCTAAAAACCCATTTTCTCAAGTATTCTCAAAGTTTCACCTGATACTTAACCTAAGTCAATAAAACAAAACAAAACAAAAGAACCAAAAAAAAAAAAAAAAGGTATTGTGACCACCAGGGTTATCGACACCAGCGCTGTGAGACAGGTGCACACTCTTCCCAAGCCCTGGCTATCCACGGTCTTCTCTCAATCCTTAGACACCCTGACTCCTCCTTCAGGTGCAGACCACTTTTGCTTTTTGTCCTCCCTGCTGTTCTGGAAGGCCCTGCCGCATGCCTCTTCTCTGTTTCCAGCATCCCTGAGCATGAGCATCCCCCGCCGACGTCCTGCTGGCGGGCTGGCCTGGCCTCCGCAGGGGTCACAGCTGCACAGCTGCCCACCTGCCGGCGCTTGGACGCCACTGTCCCTTGCGGGGGACCCCGGCCCCGCACACATCCTTCCCGCCGGCATGAGAAGGAAGAGCCCACCTTCCTGCTATGGGTCCGTCCACCTCTGAGCTCAGATGCATTCTCTCCCCTGGCCCCGGGCGGGAGGGCTGACTCCTCTCTGCTGTGTCCTCAATGCCCAGGTTCCCTGTCCGTCCTCCCCCAGCCTGGAAGCGCTCAGGCACCAGGGCAGTGCCCTTCTTTGGGTTGCAGCCCTACTCCTGGCATCACACTTTCTTCCACGGAAGGATAAGCTACACCCTCTGCTGCATGTCTTCTCTCCTTGATCTTCCAATACATTCACCCCCTGAGCCCCTACGATGGATGTGTCCTTGCTAAAGCTGATCAGTAGCTTCCTACTGCTACACCCAAAAGCCCTGTTACAGTCCCTACTTTACCTCAACTAACAGGCCATATACCCTGACTGTTGTACTGGGACCTCCAACCATATATGTATTAAGCTGAGTTCAATGTTTTTTCCCTCAAATGTAACTCCCTGCAATATGGCATTGAAATCGGATATCATGACATTGTTCCAGTGTTCTCCTGCACCCCCGATTGTCAGGTTAGTCACCAAGACCTGTTGATTCTGCTACCTTCTCTTCCTCTCTGTTCTCACTCTTACCATCGCTGGGCCTACTACCTTTGGCTCAGGATCTCATAACCGGTATCACACCCTCCCTTCCAATCTTTTATCCCATCAGCTGCCAGAAGTTTCCAAAACACTAATCTGATCACATTACCAAAACCTACAGCACTGCTTTCCAAACTTGGGTCACAAATGGACCCAATTAGTGGGTGATAAAATTAATTTAGTGGATTACAACTAGTATTTTTTAAAAACTGAAATAGGATAGGATGGGAGGCCTGGGTGGCTCAGTGGTTGAGCATCTGCCTTTGACTCAGGGCGTGATCCCAGGCTGCCGGGATCAAGTCCCGCATCCGGCTCCCTGCGGGGAGCCTGTTTCTCCCTCTGCCTGTGTCTCTGCCTCTCTCTCTCTCTCTCTCTCTCTGTCTCGCATGAATAAATAAGTAAAATCGTAAAAAGAAAAAGGAGTGGAAAAGAAGACAAACGCACTTCACATAATGAGAACATGCGCAATTCTGTATAACTTTAGGTGTATGTATGTACCTGTGTGTGTGTGTGTGTGTGTGTGTGTGTGTGTGTGTGTCATTCTCCACCCAGACGGCCCTGTGCTGGCTTCCACAGCCTAGGTAGGTCCTTTCTTTAAGTTGGGTTGTGCTACTAGCGTGTGTGTACCTCCAGCCCAAGGGGTGGCCAAAAGCTATTGCTTGAAGGGGGGAGATTGGACCTAAGGGCAGAAGAAGGCGGAACAAAGAGGACATGGAAAGGTGCCCTCCCTATCCTTCCACATTTCTGTTCAGAGAAATCTTAATTCAAACCCTTCCAAGACAGTGGGGAGCAGGAGCACCTAGGGGCCAGAGATTACCCCTTAGACCACGTTGGCACAGTCTAGATGGCCTTGGCACTCAGGTGCCTACTGGTGGGAATAGAAAAGGGGCAATGACAGGACAAAGAGAAGAGCGCTCCCTTTTCCCACCCCCATGAAGAAGAAAACAGAGGAGGTGTCCTCTGACAGATCCCACAGCCAGTGGAAGACAAGGCTGAGGGAGCCTTCTCCTCCTCTCCTCTCACTTGGCCTAGTTGCCATTATCCCTGCAGTTCCCTAGGATGAATAATAGTCTTTCGGTGAAAGTCTAAGTTAACTTTACATTTGTACTATTCTGGGGGCATCTGGGTGACTCAGTGGTTGAGTGTCCACCTTTGCCTCAGGTCATGATCCTGGAGATCTGGGATCAAGTCTCACATCGGGCTCCCTGCATGGAGCCGGCTTCTCCCTCTGCCTGTGTCTCTGCCTCTCTCTCTGTGTCTCTCATGAATAAATAAATATTTTTAAAAGTACTATTCTGTTATTTGGTATCAATGGCTTTACACACAATTTTCACTGTTTCTCTTGTAAGGTGCATTTGCCAAGGTGGGTTTTGTAATAGTTTATTGCCTTGATTTATAACTTCTTAAATAATTAGCTCTCTTGTATCCCACTTGTCCTCTTGCCCAGGCCCTGCAAGTGATAAGACCAGGCTTGGTAATAAATCATCATGTAAGGAGGTATGTCTACTATGGGTCACAGACGAAAAAGTTTCAAGGCTACTGACTGAGGGATATCAAGTTCACACTCCTCTACATGGTGTCTGAGGGGCTCTGGTTCCAGGTCTCCTACTCCATCTCTAATCCACACTGTATCCTTCACACTCACCCCAGGAGGCTGTTGCCATATTATCAGCCTGCATCCAGTACCCTCAGCCTAGAATGCCCTCCCCACAGCTCATTACTGATGAACTCTTACTCAACTATGAAGACTTACCACAATTCTGACAGCCCCTTGCCTGCCCCCCTTGCCTCCCAGAGCTCCTTGCTTGCCTCCCAGTTACTCCATGGTGTGGGGCCTGGCACAGAAACCACCACACTGTGTGTTACAGACACTAAACTCAGAGAGATGCAGGTTGCATCTCATCCGTCTTCATATTCCCAACACTTATTGCAAGCATGTGGCATTTAAGAGTTATTAAAAATTTGTAGTAGGAATTAGCACAAGAACAAATGAATCTGTAAGTTAACCGACAACTAAAAATAGGCTCAGTGGCCAAAAACTCTAAAATGCCTCTTCTGAGATGTAAAAAAAAAAAAATCATATCAAAAGACTGGTATTCCTCAGACCATCTTACCTTCTCCAGAGATAGCTGGTCAATATGTAAAATATACACACAAAGTGCAGAGAAAACACCTTCACAGACTAATTAATGATGTTAGGTGTCAGTTTAAAAACAAGAATATTTTTGGAATTCTCAAAGTACTGAAGCTTCAAGAAACATACAACTACTTCATTAACAATTAAGATTTACTAAGAGAGTTAATACTATCATGGTGCAGGTTAAGGAAAATTGGTCCCATGGTATAATTTCATTCAGATTTCTCAGATTTTTACTTACACACATACACACACAGGACACAAATTATGTCTCTACTGTACTAAGGACTATGATCATCTCTACTTCTAAATGCTCTTTAAGAAAGTAATTAAAGGGGATCCCTGGGTGGCGCAGCGGTTTGGCGCCTGCCTTTGGCCCAGGGCGCGATCCTGGAGACCCGGGATCGAATCCCACGTCGGGCTCCCGGTGCATGGAGCCTGTTTCTCCCTCTGCCTGTGTCTCTGCCTCTCTCTCTCTCACTGTGTGCCTATCATAAATAAATAAAAAAAAATTTTTTTAAAAAGAAAGTAATTAAAGTACAGATGGGAATAAACAAATGGCAAGTGTGAAAAATTTCACACAGAATACAGATTATACAAGAAAGGCCGAAAGGGATGTTCATCCATTCATTCCAAACCATGTATGATGTGCTTATTCCCAGCAGCATACTAAGCCAGATGGCAGGAATATAAAAATGCATGAAGTAAGGTTATGTGGAATATAAGATGCACAAATAGAGTCGTGTTTCCACAGACACTCAATTAACCCCTTGATTACAGGCTCACGTCTGAGCTTAAA